ATGTGCACGTAAAGCGAAAAGCATAGCACGTCCCGCGGTACCAAAAAACACTGGAGCGAAATCTAAAATGCTCCGTTGCCAGTGTTGTCAGGCGCTTACTTGGGGAAACAAAACCAACACAACAAAAACAAACGCTCGCAGCGCAGTGGAAGGTAATCGGGACATGACAAAACTCCGACGTTGCTACATGCTCTCTGTCAACTTTAACTTGAAAGTCACTAATAGAGATGGAAGCATTGGTTTCAAGTCAGTGTAAGCTATGTATTGGACACCTGCCGATAATAACTTCATGTTCATGTGTGTGTGTGTGTGTTTCGTCAATAATGTTTGAATAAAAGAAAAGAAGGTAGGAAAGAAATATATGCACGACGAGTTTGGCGGCACGGTGGAAGTTGCACACGAGAACAACAGCTTCTTCGTTCACTCTTTTTTTTTTTTTTTTTTTTTTTTATATATCTTGCGTGGCACTACTACACAAAGCAGCGGAGAAGCCATCAAAATATCTTTCCTCAAAAAATGCGTTCGCAACGCGGGGGCATGCGTACGGCACCGCCGCCGCGGTCGAGCGCACGGCCGCCCCGCGCACGAAGTCGTGGACCGTTCCCCCCTCCGGATCCAAGAAAGGCATCTGCCGCGGCAGCACTACTACGCACTCCTCTTCACGCCTACCTCCGCCTTCTCCTTGGTGCCCCCTCCTCAACCTCCGCTGCGCCCACTCCCGATTAAAACCAAAAGTCGTCCTTGGGCGCTCGTACTACGACGGCAAGAGAAGAAGAAAAACGTCACCACCTGCCCCCACTGCCCAGCCAAGTAGCGAGGCTGCTGGCTCGACAACAGCGCACGGAGACGCTAGAATGAACACAACAAAACCTGTCACTTCGAGCGACCTAACTACCACCCAAACTGCGCCAGTTGGGCCCATCGTCGCCGAAACGCGATTCATTACGCGCTAAAGAAGGCGACCGAGCGTGCGAACCCCGCTGGTACCGTCTAGAACGCCGGGTTACGGGACCATTTAAACGACATGTGTGCCGCCGCCCCGCTGCGCGAATGCTCGTTCGCTCGCTCGATCCCCTACTCCACACGAGAGAGCACACGGAGTAGGAGTGGTAGGAGGAGGAGTGGAGAGCAGTCCCCAAGAAGTGAGGCGAGAGAGCAGGATCGGCTCGCCCCTCCCCACGAAGAAGCCAGCACCCCCCCTCCCATTACCCCTCACCCCCCCCGCGCGGCGGAATGGAACGTCCCAGAGCCTCGCGCCTGCGCGTTGGGTACCTTGGAAGGTCAATCCGGCGAGTTCGTCCAGTAGATTAGACGCAGTACGGCAAGGCTGGAGGCTCGCGCTGCATCATCTCTCCCAACCAGTGTCGGCGCACAGTGAGGGCGCGATGGGCGAGAACTCCAATAACAGCACGCAAAGCATAGCCGACTACCTCGCGCAACTGCTCAAAGACAAGAAGCAACTGGCCGCTTTTCCCAACGTGTTTATTCACTTGGAGAGACTGCTCGACGAAGGTAAGTTGGTCGCACGAAGTGTCACGAGACCCCTCTACGGTGCGAACCCCTCCTCACGGCGACCGTATTCGCGCGTAAGCCTAGTCGCTCCTTCCGCCGAAACGCTCAAGAGGATTCCGTGTCAAGTCGGCGGTGTGTTTTGCGTCGCCGTTTTGCGTCGACGACGGCAATGTGCTTCGTTCCGCCCCTTGTCACGCGAAAGTTTGGGGTGGAGGGGGTGGCTGCTCGGTTCCAGTTTTCCCCGTGCGGCAAAAACCGGCGTCCGCGGTGACGCCGCGCTCGTGCGACAAGCAGTGTGCCTACCAAGTCAGCCTCCCGCCCCTACACCCGGCTGTGTTCCCGGTTTTGTGACTACCGAAGGAACCGAGATAAAATGGGACGAAGACGGCCGAAAGCTCGTCGCGGAGGCGCAAATTGAGGCGCATTCCGATGGTTGTAAGCCTACTGACAAGCGCCGCCATCTTGGATTTTTTGCCTCTCCATCGCCGCTGCCGCCGACGGAGTTGTGGTGCTCGCCCCGCATCCCCCGGAATGTAATCGGATGCTTCCTGGATTTTTCCTCGTTTCGGACACTCGTCGGTAAGCTGGGACCATCACCACCCCCTCCCACTCCTCGGGAGCCGAGTGAACAGGTGCCTTTTGGGACGCGGGCAGGTGTGGGACGCTTCGGACCGTGACGGCATGGATTCCGAATTTTTTTTGTTTCTTTCACCGTCGGGCAGGTTTACAACCCTCCGAACCTGGTGCGGAGACCGCACCTGTCTTTTTCGGTTGCGGTTCCGTGGACCCAGGGCTACTGTCAAACTATTTCAGCGAAGTCCTTTTGATCTTTGCCGCTCGAAAAAGTTTAACGAGCGACTCGGGTGAAACTTTATCCGTCAGAGAAGAAAACTTTGTTTCGCCTTTCTTCCGATGGCGTTTTGTGAGATCCCGTTTCCTCGTTGTAGCGGTGATTTTTCGTGGTATATATGATCGGATTTTTAGTTTCAGCGCGCGTAGTTCCTACCTCTGAAATGTTTCGAACCAGAAAATTTGGTTCCGAGTTTCCTTTGGCACAGCGGCCATGATTTTGGATGCTCTTCTCCATTTTTTCCCCCCTTCATTTTTTCGTGGATGTTTCCTCGGGATGGTAGTGGGTGTTCATTCTTTGGTACCACTACGGAGCAGTATTTCTTAGAAGGAAGAAGAAATGTTTGCTCGGTGTTTCTTCAGGATTTCTTTGCGTTGAATACCTTCCTCCGTGCTTTGTTAATTGTTCACGGAAATGCGGCGGTATGTTTGAAAGCGCGACAACTCGGTTCTTCGCTCGTATTTTTTTTTTTGTTTTTTTTTCGTCCTTTACACGAGGAATTGTGGCGTGAAGACCTAAGCTGATTTGTGAAGCTTTGTGGCTAACTTTTCTCGAGGCCGGCTGCCATCAGTAGTGACGCCACTTGGGTCGTAGGTGCTGCTCGGCGTCGTCGAACATATCGGATGCTCGAAACTGCTGCACCTCGTGATGAACCAACGCCCCGACGTTTCCGGAAGCTCCGCAGAAGCCAAATTGAATCTGGAGAATCGAAGGAAGGACACTGAATCCGTGCCAAGCGTGCGTTCTTAAACGTGCCATTGTTTCAAAGCGGGAATTGCATCTGCGTGCCATCTGGCTGTGTTGCCAGCGGGGATCCGGGTAAACTTAGGAAACGTAATCACGACTGTAATTCGACGCCACGCAAAGATTAATGACTGTTTCACCCGTTCTGAACGCTACAAAAGACCGCAAAGTTTGTCGTGAAGGTGTTTCCATCGATGCGTGCGAGTTCCAAATTTGACTGTCGAGCTAGCCGCAAGACGATTGTTCGTTTTATTAGGGTACGTTGTTGGGCTAGTTGGTTTATCTTAGTAAAACATATAAAATAGCGCAACAGAAAGACAAGGACAAGTATACAGGACAGGCGCTTATGTTTCTAGCCAATGCTTAAAATGATGCCCAACTCCTGATCATTCTAAAAGTTGATTCTTCCGAGAACTAAAAAACTTCAACAAAAAAAAATGTAATGTTGAATTTTCGTTCCTTGCATTTCATCCAGCTTCCGAACTTGTAAAGTGTTTTGTTGCTTGCCTTCGCAATTAAATAACGACACTAGATTTTTTTTTTTTTTTTCATTTTTGAATGTTTTTGTTTACCTACTAACCATCGAATTTGCTTTGGCATCTTAATTCAGCAAATTCGGATAAAACACTAATTAATGACTTATCCACCGTCCACGCTTCCTTCGTTTTGTTTGTTAATTAACACCCTCTGTTACAATTCCAACTTTGAACAATTTTTGAAATGTGTGTTCTTCACGGAATAGCATCTCAGAAAAATTTCGCAAGTCTGGAGAACTCAGCTCTGTTACACTGCGTACGAGCGAAGCCCTCGCTACAAGCGCGAGCATGGTGCCCCGAGTGGCTTGCGAAAGCCCGGAGCTCGCTTTTCTAGCTTATGTGCTCGCACTTAAATGAAATGAGGATTCAGGATGCTCTCTGAAGCAAACAATGAAACGACGCTCCCATACTTTCTGTTACTGATTGTATACACCCACTTCAATTTTGGCTAGTAAGAAAAAGGAAACTTGCCCAAATTGATTAAGTATGGAGTCCCTAGTTTTTACTCGATTAATATCAGCTGTCTCTAAAAGATTTCGAAAGTTCGCAAAATATGGAGCACCTGACCACATTCAGTCCCTCATGATGTAAAAGCACATGGTCAGAGATGTTTGTATGAGGTCGAAAAGAATAAATGCTCTGCCATGGCGTAATTGTAATTAAAGAGCGTGATTAGAAAAAGTTTTGTATTCAATCTATCCATTGCAAGGCCCTATGCTATGCTGCCTGCATTTGCATTAATGAAGTTTGCTGTATTATTCGATTCATAGGATTTTCAGACACCTCATTTTCCACTATTGCATATTAATTGTTTCTGCACTTCCTCACTATATTTTTTGTTACTAAACATGGTCCAGTCAAAGTATCTGCTTTAATTATGTGTGATATGTGTCATTGGTGCCTATTTAGGTATTTTTTGTAGGGCATCACTTATTGTATTGGTTCTGAAATAATAACCAACTCCAAATATTTATTTCTCTTACACAGGGCCATTTTTGCAATAAATCTGCTGGTAGGGTGATATGTTTTAAAGGGACACTGACAGGGTACTTATGCTCGCCAAGGTTTTGATTTGTACAGGGTGTCCATGAAAAAAATATACAGGTTTTGTTTTCACCGCAAAATTAAGCTATGCATCGCCAAATGCTTTTATTCCAAAGTTTTTAATAAATTTTTCTGAAAATGTCAATGGGAAAATGGTGGCCGACGGAGCTCTCGAGAACATAATGTGGCTCCAGAAGCGAAAAACGGGGAAGATGGGTTCTATTTTCCCAATAAATTTTTCAGAAAATCGCATAACTTTTGGATAAAATATTGGTTTGTACTGAAATGTGGCATTTGGTTCAGACCTCTAGCACTACCTGTCGGCGAAGAGTGAGCGTTTGGCCAAGCATAGTTTAGTTTTGCAATAAAATAACAATTTTTTTTTTTTTTTTTTTTTACATCTTGTACATGGCATGAGAGCCCAACACTCCAAAACACAGTTTGCGGCTCGAAATTTGTTTTCTTTCCGCCAGAAAATCGCCGATCGAGAACTGGCCGGTTGGAGTAGCGCTCTCTCTCTTCTCTGTGGTCACGTGCCATTTTTTATGGTTTAGACACAACCACCAAATGCAATCAGTCGTGGGTCATCGAAGGCAGACTCACTATTAAAATAAGAAAGGAAATGACACCCATTTTTTGTGCTTTCTAAAAATGCACAAATACATGTTGATTGATGAAACAAAAATTTGCATGTGGAACTCTGCTCATGTCCAAATTGAGGAATAGCAGCAGTGTGTTAATGCAGTGGAGCAAAGCTTCCGCTGTGGAACCTAGGGGTCTTGGGCTCGATCCTCACCCCCGCCCATTTCAATCTGGATGAGCGTGGTACCGTTGTGCTGTCGTGTATCGCTACTGTGTGATGAGCATTAAAGACATTGGGCAAGTGGTGGTACTGCACCGGCTGATTTTCTTGTCTACGGCAGAGATACCAGACACCCATTGAGGCCAACTAACTTCTTGGAGTCTGAGCAACACAATTATTGATCGAATCAAGTACGGTGGTCACAGTAATTTAATTGGGTTATTCCTGTTGCAGGAACGTTGAGCTTTAAATACATGCTTTTGGTTCTTTTCAATTTACGGTGTCCCCACATGTTTTTCTCTCAACTGCAGAGATCAGCAAGGTCCGGTCCTCCCTCTTCCAAATCAATGGCATGAAGAAAGAGCCGCTGGTACTTCCCGACGGCATAGGACCTCCTGTGAGCCGCTCTGAAAAGGTGTATGTGCCTGTCAAAGAACACCCAGACGTGAGTGTCAAACAATCTGCTTTGACTTCGTATGTTCCCCCCACCAGTGAATTGTTTGAGCAAGCTTCCGTTGTGTGTCTGTGGGTGAAGTGCTGTAAGCTGGAGCTGATATGCCTTATCTCAAGTGCTGTGGAGAGCCTGTTTGGAGTAGCTGTGGTTCGCAGATCTTGTCCAACCTCAGGATTTGGAGAGGGAAAGGCTTTTTAACGGGTATAGGACTGGCGGCACATCTGATGCGTGCATTGTGGGTTGTTCGTTGCTGTGTAAGGTGTATGGATGTAGTTTTATAGCGGTACATTGCAGTCAGCTCTCAGGAGCGGGTTAGCTCTCAGGAGCAGGTTCAAGCGAGTGACAAACCGAAGTGGTAAAGAAAGTCTGTCCAAGTCATTCGTGGGTGCTTGTCAAAGACACCTGCAGTAATCGTTTGTTCTGGAGTGAATACTCTAAATGGAAATTATTTTACATTTTGTTGAATTGCTTGTAGTGATTGAAATCTGGGGATGCTGTTTTGGACGGCGAGTTTCACGGGGCCTTTTTGGTCGCCTCTTTCAGTACAACTTTGTCGGGAGGATTTTGGGTCCTCGAGGCATGACTGCAAAGCAGCTGGAGCAGGAGACCGGCTGCAAGATCATGGTTCGTGGCAAGGGGTCCATGAGGGACAAGAAAAAGGTGAGCTCCTTAAGCCCGAGTGTATGTTCTTCTTCCCATACCGCCCTATAACACTTGTTGCGCTCTTGTTCCATGCTTTCACTCAGGGTTGAAGTGAGTACTACCAACTTGCTCTTGGCTTGTCTGCCACTCACTACTACTGCGAGATCTCTCTTGTCTGCTGGTGATTGAATCCTCGGGGCACTCTTGCATGGGGGATGCTGTAAAAAGACTTGTTTTAGCCTTGGGCGTCATTGCCCAATATGTGCAGATAACATATTTACAGAGGCAACGACACCTCTCTCCCTACTAAAACTGACGTCTACGCCTTTACACCTTGTTTGTTTCAGTTGCATGCATGTCTTTGTCGGGTTTGCTGAATGAGTGCTTTTTGGTAGAGGATTTACAGCATGCTTACGATTGAGCCGTAGATTGTTAAGTTGTGTGCTTTTGATTGCATGGGGTGTGCCTTTAGTACTGCAAACATAATAGAGGTCCTTTTACTAAATGTTCTACTAATGTGTGATTCTCAGATGCTAGGACAATATCTAGAGGTTATGTACTTCAGAATAAGCAAGATTGGAACTGCTTAGTGGAAAACTATCTGATGATCAATGTGTGACTAATCTGCTACCCACATAAAACACCTCCGTACCATGCATTGTTTTCGTTATCAACAGGGTTTAGAAAATCATCCATCGCGTATTTTGGTGTGGGCAAAGAAAATCATTTGGTTAGTGGGTGCCGGTCAAGTACTCCACAGAGAATGCACTGTTGCACGTTCCAGGCAAGGCTGGCTTGTCTCTGTATATTAAAATACCGATGTCAAGTGACTTAAGCTGAGGAGTAGGCAACACTTTTCGTATCCTTGTGTAAGTTGAGTGCACAGTTGGGTCACTGTTGTTTGCCTGTTTTGCCGGGCCACACCAGGAGGATCTGAACAGGGGCAAGCCCAACTGGGAGCACCTCAATGACGATCTTCACGTGCTCATCACCGTGGAGGACTCTAACAACAGGGCGGACGTGAAGCTGCAGAGGGCAGTGGACGAAGTTCGCAAGCTGCTCGTACCAGTCGTGAGTGCCTCGGTTGTTTTCTATTTCTTGGATTGCGCGATTCATAATTGCATCGTTCCTGCAGCACATCTTTGACTGGTGTGTTTAGCGACTTGTACCGCATTCGACTGTCCCCAGAACGGCAGCAGAATGCTAACTCCCAGCTAATGCTACGGCGTATCAGGACCCCGGTGGTTGGTTGAGTTGCTGGCAAGGAAGACAAGCTTACGCAGGTGTCTGCTGTGTCGCTGCCACAGCTGACCTCTGCATTCTCAACTGTGATGTCATAGGGCGAGAATTCAGGGGATAGAATGTTGCGATAAGCTCACTGGTCGGAAACTTGTTTCAGGCACTGTAATATACTTCAGTCGATGCAACAGGCAAAGTCGTAAAATTGACATAAAAATAAATGTTTGCATTGGCCCCACATATCCCATGATGTTTGCAAATCTAGACCTCACTTTACATGGAAAACAGCACTTCAAGTATCCCCAAAAAAAATTTTTGATTTAAAAAAAGTATTGTATTTACACGAATGCAAGGCTACCCATTTTTCAACTTTTGAAAATTGAAGTGGGGGGGGGTCGATTTATAATCGAACCAAAGCATTCCACCGCTGACAAAAAATAAACAATCGCAATATCAAGAAGTTCAGTCGGCTGTACCTGTAGCATTGCGCTATTCTGTGCGCTCATTGTACAAATCCTTTTTTTTTTTTGCAGTTTTTTATAGCAATTCGCAAATTAATTTGAATGTACGGCGGTGAACAGCGCACGGTGCACCCGACTCCCGGGGGATGGCAGCACTCACTCCCCACCATAGCTCCCCGCGGCTTCTTTTCAGTTTTTCGCACGGTTCACGGTCACACGTCATTTGATCGAGTGTCGAGATCACGCTGGAGCGCTAACTGTTTTTTTTAATTGACACTCGTGATCTGGGCAGTTTAGGTTTTTGGTGCTCGTTTATGGCCATTGTTCACCCAGAAGCAACTAGCAACTGCGCTGTTGGACATAAGTTTGATCCGTCGGAGCGGGTGATGCTCCAGTGGAGTCTGCAATGGCGCGGGATCTAAAACTGTGACGGCAAACGAAAAGGCTTCCACAGGCTAAAGTCTGGATAGGTGGGGATGCCTTCCGGAGTTGGTCAGGTTCGCAATGTACGCCGCAAAAGTGCACAATCGGTCTCTACCCGTTACGTACACCGCGATCGCCGAGCGAGCGCGGAAGATGCGGTTGATGCTGTCATTTGCGAAGTGCGAGATTTCGTTTGACGACGCCAACGACGTGCTTCGGAAACGTAGGAGTGATGACTGGACTGACATCACCAGTGCGGACGAGTCAGTCTAGTCGCGGACGGAGTGAGAACAACAGGGAGCAGCTTCAGTTGTCCCACCTCCAGCATGAACTTCCTAGTTTCGATAACCCCTGGCCATCTCATGCACCTCGTGCGTGCATGCGCAGCCAAAGCATGCCAGAAGGCATCGCTAGCGTGTTGAAGGTTGGGCTTTCGAAACAAACTTTGCCGTTCTCATGTGTTCACAGTAAAATGCGCATCTAATGATTTTTTATTTTTTTTTTGCTGGTGTGCAATGGTGGTCTGACAATCGTATATATAAGGTACTTGAAACTGCTAAAGGAACTTTTGGTCAAGGTAGCTCAAGGCACCGCCCGTCGCAACATTTATAGCTACTGTTCATTTCTCTGATGACCGGTGATCAAAGAACCCTGAAACCTGCGTCCTTTGCTTGTGGGTCATGGCTCGTTCGAGCAGTTTTTTTTATTACTATAGTTGTGCTTGTATGTCACATACAATGTATGTGCTTGTGTGTAGCATTCATGCCTTTCCTTGCCATGGTTTCATAAAGTGATGTGCAAGAAACCTCGAAAGTAGACTCAAGCTTTTGTAAAGTCATACACATCAAAGTTTTCGTGCTTAGTGTCATAGTAGAAAGGCAAGAAGTTTGTCCCCTACTCCCTTCTGACCTGTCACATGACAGAAAGACCGAGAACTGCACATCTCTTGGCTCAAACGCTAATGTTGCATGCGGGTCAAGCATGTCCAGGCAAATTTTGAAAGTTTTCTTGGAAGTGACGACAGTGTAATGCAGAATGGTTTTCTGTGGCATTTCCTCTTTAATGCAACTTTTCTTTGAGCGTTGGCTGATTTGTGTTGAACTCACATAGGTGTGAAAATTTCATCCAGGTCGATGTTTGCTAAAAACTAAAAATATGCTCTGTCCATACTTTGAATGGCAGACAAGTCGGTGTTCCTCCTTGTACTGCTGAAACTGAATGGTGATTCAACGTTGTACCGTTTGAACCTTTATTTGCTCATCTCTATAGTTTGTTGATTCATTAAAGGGACGGTGAACCGAAATTTGGATTTCAAAAAAACAATGCTGGAGATGTAGGCGGGACGCTACAATCCCTACAACACTACTAGTAAGGCGATATCTCAAGTGGACGACCGTATTTTTGGAAAACGAAGTCGAGATTGAACCAGGCCGACGAGGCGCGTGACCGTCAAGATACCTAGTTTCGTCCTCTCTTCGTTTCGCTTCCTCAAGGCTGCGAGGCGGAGAAGACGCGAGGCCGTTCCCTCTCCATCTCAGAGAAGCATGACGTCAACATTCCTACCAAATGCGCCTCCTTTTCTTGAAAAATACGGTCATCCGTTCGAGATATCGCTGTATGAGTGGTGTTTTGGTGTTTGTAGCATCCTGTTGCACGATTTTGTCGCGTGTTTTGGAGAATCCAGATTTCGGTTCAGCATCCCTTTAAAGCAGCACGCCGAAGGCCTACTGTAAAATACCGAGGAAGCACCCCCTTCATTCAAGCGCCCACTATTAACATGTTCCAAACTTTTGAATTTTGCAAATTATGTGTTAAGAGCCTGATTTGACTGGACAAGCGCCCATTTCTTTCAGTTTTCAGTGAAGTGGGTTGAGTGCTGTCCCGGTATTTTATGGTAAATAGCAAGATCATTGACAACCCACTTCTGCGAGAAATTCTGTTTTCATATTTGAACTTGCAGACAGCTTTTAGATGTGAACTTGCGGAAAGTCATCCTGTTTCGAATGGAATTATGTTTCTTATCGAAAACGAAGACTTTACACGGACGACAAATACGGAGTCAAAACTTTGTGCACGAGAAAAGCACTGCGTGATACAGTGTGATCACTGTCTTGCCACAAGCTTAGGAAAACAAGGTTTTACCACCTTAGCAGGTGTCAGATGGGTCATTCAACTGCATAGACATGGTCGCTTCATTTCAGTTGCTAAGAAAGCAGGATAAATTAGTGATGGCAAAAACGAATCTTGCGCCGAAAACTGCTGTTCCGCTGCGTAACGCAAAGCAAAAACCAATTATTTGCCGATCTGCTGTTGCATGTAGGGTTACGTGAACTACGGTGACATGTCTCTGGGGGACACTCGGAAGTCAACAGAACCTGCGCCCCTCCGCTGCTAGCCGTTGCAAACAGTCTTTTGCGTTTATTCCTTGCCGCATCCTTCGACGATAATAATCTTTGACAAGTCTACAGTCACGGTGGAAGCAGCTGGGGTTTCTGAAGGGTGAACCCAACGAAAAACTAGGTTTTGCCCCAGAGCATGCCACTCGAAATATGAGGCGATAGTTGAAAGGCACTTGGACCTTCGATTGATTTAATTTTTTCTAAATAAAAACTAGTGCGCGCAAGAAAATGTGGTTTTCTGTTGTTTGTTCCATAAGTGATGCAGATGAATTCCCGCAGTTAATTGGCCAAATTCCAAAAATCATTGCACAGCGAATTGGTGTATGATGCAAAATGCTCTTGTGGTCTAGTGCCCATTATGCACTTGCATGTAAACACTGCTCTTTCTCTGCTGCATCTGCCGGCCCACACTTGTTGACCCAGTTAGTAAACACAGCTCTGGTAACATTTGTTTTTTTTTTCTGCAAAACACTTGAATACAATTTGGAGACTAGACATGCTCCATCCACTTCTCCTGTTGGATAATGTTCCCTCGCAAGCAAATTCTACTTTTAGCTTTTCACTTGGTAACCACAAGTCGAAATTATATTTGGGGAATTCTGGCCTTCTCGTGATGTGTAGTTTATTTTTGTGGTATGAAGAACTGCTAGTTTTTAGAGCTGTTTCTTTATAGATCCTAGAAATTTTGAATTGGGGTACCTAATCTGGACGCCGTTTATTACACCTACCCTTCGGGCATCTGGTGGTCCGTTGCCAAGCCGCACGTAGCTTTGGTTTGAATTGGGCATTTGGCTTTCGACAGACTGAAGGCGAAGACGAACTCAAGAAGCGGCAGCTGATGGAACTGGCCATCATAAACGGAACCTACAGAGACAGCAGTGCCAAGGGAGCTGGTGAGCAAGCTTTCCCAACTGGGACCCACGTCCCGTTTTGTCAATTCTTAGCATTCATAATGCTCTCGGTTCTAGGTTTACTTGCACTGTGCATGGCTTTGAATGTTTCATTGTCCGAACCCACAAAATTGAGCGAGAAAGAGTATACTAGACCTTTGGCTTTCGCATTTCTAGCTTGCTTCCGGATGTGTTGTCGGTCCACTCTGGACGAGTGCGCATTGTGTTGGCTATAGTCGGCGACTTGTTAAGGACTCGGTAGACGCTACGCCTCCAACGTGCGCTCGGTGCCTTCCGCTGGGCCTTGGCTGCACGTGCGGCGAAGCACCAAAGGCAGAAAGCTCGCGCTTGAGGCAGAGCACGTACTGCGTTCTTTGCCCGTTGTCGACTCTAGCGTATGTATGTGTGTGTGCCTTTGAAGAGTGAAAGTGCAGTGTGCCGTTTTCTCTTGCTGCGCTTTCTTGCGGCTGTTTGTAGTACTACTGCGTGGTTTCATGGGCTGTTTGTACCATGGCGAGCCTGGTCTCTCCCACCCAGGTCTTGGTTTTGAGCACAACCCCTTTGCCAAAGCTGCATTCAGTCCCACAGGTAAAACTCCGCACCCCGCCCGTTTGACTGCAGCGCCAGTGCTCAACGGAACCTTTCTGCTTTCTTCTCTTTGGAAACTCGAACAGCGATGGGGCTGGCACTGTCGGCAGCGGATGCGCAGAGGTTGATGGCTGCAGGGCCGCCTCCGCCTGTGGCGCTCACCTCGCCGCTGCGCGCCCAATCTGCGCCGCTGGGGGCGCCACTGATTTTGTCGCCCCGCGGCCTGCCCGTGGGACCCCCCAGCGCCCTCCTCAACGGCTCGGGACCGCCCCCGCCCCTGATTGCGCCCGGAGAAGCCGGCCTGCTCTACGCGGCCTACCCAGACTACCACCAGTATGCGGCGCTGACATCTCCGCTGCTTGCCGAATATGCGCCGGATCACTCCCCGGCCGGTGGGTTGTTTGGACGATGAGCGGTGCCAGTGTGCGACTCGTTCCCGACGGCCCTCCTTTCCTTCTGGGGGTGTTTCCCCTCACCGACTCCCCTCCCCCACCCTCTGCGAACTGTTTAGTTGGTCGGCTGGCACGTGATTTTTTTGTGCCCCCTGCTGCTTCCGTTTCTCCTCTTGTTCGCCGACCCGGGAGAAGGGTCGTCTGGCGAAAGCCGGGCACGGCTGGGCAGGGACGATATCTGCTACCTTTCTGTTTGGCGAGAATTCGTCGGTGTTTCGGCGTACGGCAGTTCAACGGAGGTGCTTCCCTATATTTGTTTCGCGTTTGTTTAGTGTTTGCGCCACCTGCTTCATGGGGAAAGCTGGTTCTTGCCTCGTCGTCGACGTTGTTAGTTGTTTTCGGGGAGGTGGGTGCACGAGGGTCTCAACGGCTGCCAAGGGGCGTGACGGGACGTGCCGAGAAAACGGGTTGCTTCGTTCTTCCCTGTAGAAGCGGGGAGAGCAGGGGGGACTGTTTGACGACAAAGCACCGGAGAGGGCGCCAGTTGGAACTCGGTGGCGGCGACTAGACTCGCTCGGCCACAGTCAGGACCACGACTCTTTTGAGCCAGGCTTTACATATCGAGAGGCACTGGGCATTTTGGCTGCCAAAGTTTCGGGCTCTGCAAACGTGACGGGCGGATTAGTTTCTCCGCCTCCTTTCTTCCTCGACAGAGAAGAGTTTGGTTTGTTTGCCCCCTTTTTTTTTTTCCCGTGTGGGCCTAGCAAAGTTGAGGGAGGAGATCGTATAGAAGAGGAGTTTCCCCGTAGCATTTTCATTCCATTTTGTCTAGAAAGGAGAGGCGAGCGGAGAGAGTTGTGACAAGCCTTTGGGAGATTTACACTCTGCAGTCTGTTCAGGGATCCTTTTTTTGACATTCCAGGCGAGTTTTTTTTGTTAAATTAGCGGGCAAGAGTACTTTTTGTTGTTTTTGTCCCCCAGGTGCTGCCCAGTGCAATTGTTTTGTCTTTTTTCTTTCACCTGTAGCTGTGTTGCACGTACATACAATTGTGGCGTGGGGACCAGCGACTGTTTTTCTTTCTCGAGAGTGTTTGTAGCTAGATCCCTGCAGCTCCCCGGTGCTCTTACCACGACGGCATTTGTTGCGATATTGCACAATCCTTCTTTATATATTCTGGCCTCGGAAGAGTGGACGCATGTGGGTGTGTTTGTAGATATGTATATATGGATTCCTCTCTTGCTTTCTATAGACAGGCCTATATATATATATGTATATATGTGAGTGTGTGGAGAGGATTTTTTCCCTTAATTTATTGCTTGTTTCCAAAGCCATTTTTTTTTCTTTATATACATATATATATAAATATATATAGATATGTATACACCATGCTGTAAAGAGCCCTGAACCTTGCTTGACGGATTTTTTTTATGTATACCTACCTCATAGAACTTTAAAGCAGAAAGTGCTATTCCACGATGTTGATGCCCAGTGTCCTTTTACGATTATTATTGTCGCCACCTAGTGGTCAGTTTCTCTGCATGCATTTCTCTGTGGTCTTTTGTTGCGTGCTCCTTTCAGAACAGTGAAATATACACGTTGCTGTATATATATACACATTGTAGCCTTTATTCATATGAGCCCATTTTGAGAAATATGTACTGTGTGAGCAAAATGTGCCCGTGGTGCACCCCCCTTCTCCTGAAAGAATAAAAAAACCTCGAGCTCGAGGTTTGCGCACTTAGTTGAATTGGCCTGTGTTCTGGGCGTGGGTGTCTGTGCCCATGACTGTTCTAGTCAAGGTTACAAACTTGAAGGGCCTGCTTAAGGTGTTGAAAACACTGAGCTTTTTTTTTTCTTTGGGTGTACAATTTTATATATACATATATGTGTAGCATTCCTATCCTGGTGAATTGAGCTTTTTCTCAGTTATATATCGAGCAAGCGTAGAGGTTTCAAAGTTTTATTTTTAGCTCTGCATAGTGCTTGTCATTGCACACACTTCTGCGCAAACTCTCGTAGCTGTGTGGCTGGTGCCTGTCGGCGACCGTAGCTCTGCGTTCCGACACTGTTTGGCCTGCTAGGGTGGTGCATCACGGGAGTGTCAACATGTCCCAGCGCATTTTGCCGGCACGATTGCGCGTGTTTTTGAGTGCTCGTCTGTAATGCTTCGTGGTTTCCTTCCCCAAATTGCCTACTCAGGTGCTGCAGCAAAACAGAGGCGTCATTTGACGATGCGCGAACATCCTTACCAGCGGATTGGGTCTCTATAGTAGAGCCTAACCCCAAGGTTGGTGTTGTTGCTGCCCTTTTTGTCTTGTCGTTGCACGCTCCCCGCCAAATCTGCCCTCCTGGCCAAAGCCACATCTGTAGCCGAGGTCTGCCCCCCGGCGCGCTGGTCGGCTTTGTCTCGGCTTGGATTTGGGCTTCGGTCTGCGAGCCCCATTTGGTCTTTAGACTCTAATTGCCCCCCCCCCCCCCCCTTTTTTTTTCTTTTAGTTTTTTTTTCCGGGGGGGGGGGGGGGGGGGGGGCGTACTGCTGACACGCATTTGTTGGCAATCTTTTCTATGGTTAAAGATAAGGCGTGCTGGACGCGCCCTTTGCTTCGTGGGGATAGGGTCTCTGGTATGGATCCTGAAAGCAACAGTGCCATTTTAGGGGAGGGAGGTTGTCGTAGGGTCTGTGGGGCTTTTTCCTCGCACTGTCGTCCGAAGAGGTCGTGTGTTTTTTCTCCTTTTGTGGTGATTTGAAGGTAGACACACTTGTGCACATTGCTCAACATCGTTCTTGGCATTTTTGGTCAAGAAATTTTGTACCATAGCTTTTTTTTCTACCACACCCCCTTTTGTGTTGAGCATTGTGTCTTCTCCTTCGGAAGAAAAGTTGTACATACCGTTGGTTAAGATGTTATTTATATTATATTATACATATTCTATATTTGAAAAAAAAAAAATAAATTGACTTTATAAAAGGCTGCAGATAGGTTTCATAGTGTGGTTTTTGCGCCCGCTGAGGCGTGCCCCTCTTTTACACATGAGCGTCCCACCTTTTGCTCTCAAATATCCGATGCTTTTACCAGGGGCAGCCGGAGTTTCCGGCTTGCTTTTTATGAGTGTCGTAATTCTGCTTCTTTCGCCTAACTCGCCTAAATTGCGGACCTTTTTCTTTTTTGGCGGGGATTGGCTCTTTTGACACTGCACTATTAATATCTTCCCGGGAAGAACTGGCCAAACACTACTTGTACGGTTGTCGCTCTTTCCTTTTCTCTCTGTCCGCGCTTTTCCTCGTCTCGGGACGAAACAAACCGCTCCCGGGGCAGCTTGCACACAAGACTTGTTTCGTGAATTTTGCGCTACTCTCTCTAGTAACCGCTTTCGCCCGGTCAACGTTTTGTTGCACACGCTGTCCCCTGGGTGTCGACGGCACCTGCACATTCCTGCTGCAAGACGAGCCCTACCCACAAAGCTCTCTGCTTGCCAGACTTGGTGGGTTCCTCCTTCGGCATTTGCTCCGCTCAAGCGGAAAGAGTGAAGGTCTTTGTGGGATGAGCTGGTCTTGGCTTTTCTCTGCCTGCTACGGAGGTACGCCAGGTCACCCAGAGTTCAGATGCAGCCGATGCTAGGAGGACCAATCTTACAGCTTCAACGGCTTACCAACATGGCATTCGTCGCATTTCTGTATGTGTTGTATTGTCGCCGAACCAATGGTGTACAGGGAGGGATTAGTGAATTGCGCTTTTGACATTGTTGGATTGGTCTCGTCGGCTCCTAGTGTTAGCTGCATCCGTACGTAAGGTGAAATGAAGTAGTCTCGCAGGGTTCAACTAGCCTAAGTCAGCGTGGTTCCCCAACGTTGCGGGCCTAAACTCTGCTTCCTTAGCCCTGCCCCTCCCCCCTCGTAAACCAAGCCTAGTGTAACCTTGCTGTGGCAGACATGAATGGGCCTGCCACATGCAACTGCTTTAGAAGCGGTCTTTTTTTATTTTTGATCTAAATTTCGACGAGGTGTCTTGTGGTGGGTGCAGGGGAACCCTAGCATAGCCTTGTTTCGGGCAGAGACTAATGGATTGTCATGTGTGTGTGTGTGTTGCATTTTCTCCGACTTTTAAAGAAGAGAAATTTTTAATATATTGCCATACGAGAACTACTACTAACAGTCTCTCTTTTTTTTTTTTTTTTCTCCTGCTCTTTTTGTTTCCGGTCCGTTAACCCAGACTCCATCCATCCACCACAATCTTCCGTCCGCCAAACGAAGACCACTAACCCCCCACCCACTGACCCCTTGGAAAAGCTCGGCTGTGCTCGGACTAACGCCGGCTGCGGTGGTAAAAAGCGGAACTTCTGTCCACTCCTTTCGATTTTTTTTTGTCTGTGCTACGTAGTTCTTGTTGTTTCAAGTGCTCACACCTTGCTCTGTGTCGCTGTCTCTGACAGCGGATGTTTCTCTCTTCTCTAATGCTACTGGTGCATTACTGCATACACAATTTTTTTTCTTGGCTATTGTGTGTGTGTGTCAACGACTTCCCGAAGAAGTGGTCTTTTTTTCCTGTTGGAGGCCTTCGTCAGGGTTTAGAAAGACCCACTTGCAGCTATGCCAAGGGCAGTGTTGGATCTGAACAGTGGATGCAGCTCGGCGGAACTCTTTATACAAGGCCAGCGTGGTGGTGGGGGGGTTACACTTACAACAATACTCTCATTTTGACTGCAGGCACTGCTAGTAGTACAAGGAGGCTGGAGGGAGAGATTGAGCAATCCCCTCTTTAAGCTATAGAAACTCCTGTGATTTCTGAAATGCATAAGTCGATTTTTTTTTTGTGGCTGCTAAATTGGTTTTAAAGGACCATGAGTTTTCTCTTGCTGATGCTGGAGACGTGCCTTAGGTTTCGACAGCTAGTGGAAACTGATTACTCTATGCATTTATAGACTAGGTCTGTGATCATAGTTTCGAAGTGTAGACCAGCTGTAGGTGCAATAACTGTTTTTGAGAAGCAAAAAGTCTCAGTGCCTTAAGACCATTATGCGGTCTACTGTCATGTGAAAAATAATGCAGCTCATGTCTTTATTATTTTTTTTTACTTTTCTATGTTTAATTGGAACTTTGATATACCCCCGTGTGTGTGTGTGCACATCTGTATGCGTCTGAAACATCCAACTTTTCTTTAAGTGTTACACAAGAGGTGCTACTGCTTATTCCTTGGACTTTTTTTTTCCCTCTTTACTGTACAAAAAGGTACACAAACACTACTACTTAAGTTATTTCTGTACATAATTTGCCCTTTATATTTTACACCCATGACTTGTGTCTAGAAACATTTATCCCCTTTTTTTTTAAATTGTTAATGTGTTCGTCCCAACAAAGGACGACTTGAGCGGCGAAAAAAAAGCTTGTTAGAATGAGTGGTGTTTTTCAGGTTGTGAAGGTGATGCCGAGGGCAGCTCTTTTTTTTTTTTCATAAATTGTGCTTTTGCAGGTTACCTTTCCAAACGTGCAGCTTGAAAATATTGGAGAACAGCACAGAGCTTGCACATTATGTTGCAGGTCTGCTAAAATCTCATTTGTGTTGAAGGCTGTATATGGCTAATCCACAAGCTCTGGAAGCCTGTATGTCTTGTGAAAGGATCAGACACCCAGTCTACCATCAGCCTCGATGTGTAAAGCCAAATTTTGTTGATAGATTGATGGGGGCATTTTTAAAGGTTCTTATATAGGGAACAGTTAAAAGGTTGGCTTGCCATTTGGTGTGGCTTGTTTTGGTTTACCGGTGATTTCACCGGACCCAATTTAGGGACCTTGTAAGTGCCCTCGTTGCCAAGGCGTTAACTTGCACGTAGGACCAAAGTTTCGTCGGCTCACTAATGGAAAAATTGTTCTAAACTTTTTGGTCTTCTCTTCAGACTAAATCGTTGCATACCAGCAATAAAGAATTGATAGTCAAGTGCGACTCCCTAGAAAGTTGGGAACAGATTAGGTACATCGGTTGCAACTAGTGGTTTATATCTGCAGTCGAAGCATTGTTCAGTTTGACCTCAAATACTTGTTCAGCGGCACCTTGTATGACCACAACTCTTCATTTCATTGAGCAGTTGTGTTGCAAGGTTACTTAACTTTTTCTTTTGTTGTCACTCTTCGAAAGGTGACATCCTCGGAGATCTGATTGAGATTGTTTTCCTCAGTTTCTTTGTTTTCCTTCCATCTTTACACACTGTCACATTGCTCTATTATTTTTTTTTTTTTTTGCCATTTACAGATTTATTTACTCCTAGCCTTTGTGCTAGCTTAAAGACTGAATCTCACCGCCGCACAGTTTTTTTTTTTTTTCAAAGTTTTCTTGTACTTTGGGATGTTTCCTTGGACCGTATAGTGCAGTTCAGGTGCCAAGCTGAACATGCAGTTGGACTTTGACTGCGTCCAGCTGGGCAACTTCCTAGTTCGGAATTCTGACAGTGCCAAAGTTAGCATTTTTTTTCTATTCAGCGACTGATCTTTGGGTTGGTGTAGCCATCATCCCAAAGAAACTACATTTGTTCTTTTCTTGAGTTGTGGAATCTGATCCGTGCGAGCTGAACCAACAAAATGTGCGAGTAGTACTGCCTCTTCATTGACTGCAGTGTATGGTTACAAGCTTAATACTAGTGTTGCATCTTACCACGATATAATGTTTAAATTTCAGCCCTTTGCTTTTGGTTTAGTTTTTGCCCAATTTGTCCAATCCAACCTGCAGTACCTAAAGCAATCTGGCTTAGTATGTTTCGTTCGCCGAATTTCTGTTGCTGGTCAACTCAACAGCCGTTGAATGCCAGCGAAAGTTGGCACTCACTTTACTTGTTGTGGTGGCAGTTTAGTTCTCGGGAGGCTTCAGCTCGCATTGTTTCGGACATTTAGTTTCATAACTGTGCATAAAAATGTGCAAGTTTCTCTCCTTTGTAAATTGCAAATGCCCATTAGCCTCGTTTCATCAGCAAGCAAATTGGTGTCGATTTGACCTGAATGTCATGTACTTGGGTTTTCTTTCTCCTCCTAATTGAAGATAAATACTTGACTGGGGAGGCTTCGTTCTGCTTTTAAAATGGCCGTTCCAACAGTGCCCAACGAAGTTCTTTCCTTTGCATGACAGCCAACAAAGCACGAAGTACAGCCTAACAGGTTATATGGAGATGGAGTTGTACTTTTTCGACCAGTTTGCAGACTGAGCGGTCTTGTTTTTGATGGTCCAACGTGCGTTCATGATTCTGTACTTAATTTCATTCTCACAGTAATAAAGCGAGAATTCTCATTTTTTTTCCCCCTCAAGAGAAATTATTGTGGATGCTTCCGTTGTTTCGTTACTTTGTCACAATCTCCTCTTAAAGTTTGTAGTACTGGGTGACGGAAAAGTTGTGTTTCAAAGGCTGCAACAATGAACTACCAAATGATGTGCCAAGGACCGATGTTCGGTATGTAACCATTTTTCTTCGTGCTACTTTGAAGCCAAAAGTTTGAGCTGCAAACATGTTTTTTTGAACTTCTGATACAAGACGATCAAAATATGCAAAGCCCATACAGACCCACTGAATTTTACAGAGTGCAGCATACTCTGGCAATCACTTGCAACTGGACACCTCGCAAAGGGGAAAAGGCAGAGGATCCGTTGCACTTTCCCATTTTCAGTCGGCAATGGAGCGCTGTAAAAACAACCTGGCCTATGTTTCAATGATATTCCAGGAGGTGGCCGCTGCTTCATAAAATGAATGGTCGGGCTGCAGTGCAGTTTGCATGAACTCTTAATTGCTAACTTCCCTCCCCCAAGTTGTTTTTTTTTTTTTTTCTTCTCAAATTTGAAAGCAATAATTTCGATGGAGCGAGCCGCAGTCGTCAGCCGCGCCAAACGGCAGATAAATTAGTGAAGCCGCGATCTGGGGCATCCCAGCTTTGAAGCCGCGCAAAACGGCAAGTAAATGAAGCCAAAGGAGGCCGCCGCGCGTCAGTTTCAATCAACGCCACCCCATGGCGCTGCGTGCCTCCAACTCTCATTTTTCCAAAATGGCGGTTATAGTGAGGGTCGGAGATGTCTGCCGCTGTTGAGCCTGTCTAGTGTGCTGGCTTCACTGAGCGACCCAAATTATTTCTAGTAATACGAGGAAGTTAGGGTGTTAGGAGCGCATGTCACCTCTTTATCCTGAAAACAAAAACGGTGTTTAGCGTAATATTTACGCAAGGATGAGCGTTTTAATTCTGGAGCGAAACGGAAACTGACCTCTATTTTGGATTAAATTTCTCGGTATAGGTCTCAATTTCGGGTTCTTTCATAACTCAAGATGTCTCTCACATCGTAATTATTTAGTTAGAGAAGATGTTCGCCGAAACTTTATTTTGTGACATACATGTTTGATCCAGGCTGATATTTGTAGTTGAAAAAATCAGTGCTGATATTTCTCGTTCTCGCTGCCTTTTCTCGCTGAACTGTGAAACTTGTGATATTTTTTCTTTTCTTTTTTGGTATTTAGATGATAAATTGGTTTAACGCTGTTCCCAGCACAAAAATAAGAGATTAATTCAAATTTTTACATGTCCACAAAACGTATAAAATAATAAACGCTGTTCTCACGGCTACAACCCAAAGACGGAATCCGATTCAGACAGCTGAAGTGTGTGTGTTTCTTTATAGCAACGCGTGACGCATAGGACTATATTAGATGCAGTGTTTGACTGTTTGTCTATCTTGATAACGATGTCAGAGTTTTTTATATGCTGCAAAATTATACGTTTCTGGAAAGATTATGGTTAAATGGCGTATTTTCGTGATCTTTGCGTTAATTGGAGGCATACATTGCCGCAATTTCCATTGATAATAATAAGACTAAATTCGGATATTTTAATACGTTATTTTTCACGCTCTAATATAATTTGTTGCTTATGAACTAATTTCAAACGCGCGAACAAATATGACAATCAAAAGTGTGTACTTATCACTGGTGCAGTGTGCAGCATTTTTAATTACCAAGTAATAAAATAAAAATGGTATGAAATCAATGAAAGCATTTAACTAATGTGAGAAACCCATGTAAAATTACATTAATTGTGGGTAAAGTATATTTTTCTATCAAACCAAATGTCCAAAAGTATAAAAATAAAATATAAAAAATAAATAAAAGATAACATTTTTTGTTACCAATCTTCATAACATTTCTAAGTTACTTTCACTTTTACGCGTCGTTGTTTTGCCAATCTCAGCCTTTCCAGTTGGAAGGAACGCCTACCTGCTTGCACGTCTGCTCACTGCAGCATGTTTTGTTGGCGTTGGGAGCCGGTGAAACAGTAGTGAGTCTTAGTGTTGCGTATGCGAACCAACGCAAGTGCTGTGTTTTGCGTTAGCTTTGCGTGTTCCACACTGCGTGTGCGAGGAGCCTAAAATTGCGGTCTTGGACGGCGCATGGCGAAGAGTCGCACGCACAACGTTGGGCACGTGACGCAAACGCACACTGCTTGCGTTTGCTTCTATGCGCAACACTAAAACTCTCCAGCAAGGTACAATCCCATAGCGGTTGCAGCACTACGTTGGGACAGTAAAGAGAGTTGATTGCATTCGGAAATTACATTTCGCGAGCCATAGTCGCCAGCAGTTCCGCCGTGACCGCTGAGTTGGAGAATCGGGGGACCCTCACTAGGGCGCTTCCCGTTTCCGCTGCAGGAGGGCGAGCGTCGAGCTGGAGACGCGCCAGCCGATTCCTGCAGCAGGGAGGCGCGGCAACTCGAGGAGGCGCGCAATAACGACATTCATGCTTTTGCATTCACAACTCTTAAGAAGTGCTTAGGTGTACCTCGAGCCTTTTTGATTTTGACAATTGATAAATTGTAACTATCGTCTGTGACCGGTGAAGAATCAAGTGGAGGCACTCCCACCCCTTTCCACTTTGATGGAAAGGAGGTTGCCTCTTCAACGTTTGCTCTTGTAAAGTGGAAAGGGGTGGGATAGGCTCCACTTTCTTTTGACCTCCGATTAAGTGTAGCTTCGATAGCAGTGTTTCCGGAGTGAAAAATAACGAGATTGTATAAAATTGGTATTGTATTCTCATAAACGGAGAACCAAAAAGGACTAGAGAGATGTCATCGAAAATGGTAGGCTGGTTTGAGCCTGAGTGTTAGAGGGGTCATGAAACGATTTTTCAACTTTTTCTTGTTTATCTTTCCTCCTCAACTCACAAATCGCTCATTGTACCAAACAGTTCAAGAACACCGCCATTCTCTCCTCTTGCTCGGACCCTCGTTTGTGTACCCGGACACCGCCATTCTCCTCCTAGAAGATTAACCCGTCGCTCAAAACTCGAACAAAAGTTGCTTTCCCCATTCCGTTCACCCCGAAGCTGACAGTACTGTAGAAGCTACGGTCTTGTTTTGCCACGTGATCACACTCCCTCACACATTCCCACGCGCAGAGAATGAGGTCAGGTGATGAAAAGGGAGGCGGCTGATTGGTCCGGCAAGCGCATAGCTTCCATCGCGCTGTCAGCTTAGGAGTGAACAAAATAAGTGAGGTCCGGTATTGTGTGACGTGCTTTTGGACCAGGTGACGCGCTTTGGGTACCGCGGATGTATCGGTGAAAAGGTAGAGAGCTTTCGAAGGGAAGGAAATACGAAATAGTCCGCTGTGTTTTCAAACTTTCGTACTGAAAGTCGTGCTTTTGACTTTCTACCTTCTGGCCCACTAAACGATATGCTATTATTAAAATCCTAATCTAAATTAATTTATCTCAGCCCAAAACTCGTTTCATGGGCCCTTTAAGCTGATGGCGGGACACTTTCACCGACGTATAATTTCGTCCACCACTTTGTTGTGAGCTGGCTGGTGTGTGCCGAAGGCGAGCATTCCAAGGATTCGCATAACTCCCCCCCCCCCCCCCCCCCCCCCCCTCCTCTTCCCTCGAATGCGTAGTGCTCAGAAGCTTGTAGGTCTCGCCACGCTGATTGTCCAGAAGTTCCGATGTAATCTTTTAAATCAATAAATGCGTTTGAAAAACAAATTAACAACAAAGTGGTAGATTGACGTCATACGAGAACAACCTGTACCAAGATAACCAAGATCTGCACTGTGGTGCGCCAATGGAAGGATTCCCAATTCATTTGTCTCGTCTCAGCTGGAATAAAATAATGCAGTCGCGGCGTAGCCTACTTTTTAGCATGAAGCTTTACTAGACTGCACTATCCTCGTGGCCTGACCGAGGAACTTCTGCCTCGAAAATGTTGTGCAAGGTCTTTGTTTCGCCGAACGGAGCGGAACGCCAAGGATGGATTTGTCTGGGGAATTCTTTATTGTAGCTTGTGATTGTTGATTGATCATCAAATTGCGGCATAGCTGTTTTCTTTCTTTCTTTTTCTTAACAAGAAGACGAAAACATTGCTGAAAAAATGTGTGCTTATACTTTAGCATTTTACATCTCATTGCTATCATTTCTGGGTGCCTAAGTTTCGTCGCTTAGCACCGAAATGCACGAGTAGTATTCAACGAGTCGTGGTGCACTCGCTTGGAGTGCTCTAAATTAACCGATTAAATGGGAGTACGGAATGAGCCAATGGGGTGTTCGAGCCAGGGCCGTACCCAGGGGGAGGGTTTCGGGGTTCGAACCCCCTACCTTTCACCGTCGGCTAGAAAAGGGGTACGTGTAAAGTGAAGTGAGATGTATGAGCAACATCGACACTTCACTGAAAATTGTTCAGCAAAAGGAAGTTCCGTTAAGAGTAAAGCGGGAAGCACACGTGCGGTGACACTGCCTGAAAACCGGACGAACCAAGAAGCAGTTCCACATCTTTTTGAGAAATAAAGCACACGGTTGCGTTTTACGCCGGAAGATTGAGAATGTGTCTTTACCGAAACCATAGTTGCGATTCTCGTGCATAAAATACGCTTGCCGTTCGAAGGAGTGGCGTTCGGACTGTCGCATCGGACGTCGGATCGTTTCGTTCTTTGAATCGCTTTTGTTTTGCTATGAGAAATGACAGAAAAGCTGCAGACGCTTGAGTGAGGGCAATTTATATATACCTTGTTTTTATACAGACCACCTTGTCGCTTTGTACACACTTTTAGGAACTTAAATTATGCACTCGGAGACACATACTGTATTTTTTACGGTGCCCACTTTAGAACGGTGGAATTCCGCGGGTAAAATGTCTCATCATGTCGGCGAGAACGGAAGGTTGTGTTGTCATCGCTCGGCCCAAAGTGTGCAGCTTTAAATTACACGGCTGCTCAAAGTTGCTACCCTAACGATTTGCTCTTCTGCCAACTGGCAGCTGCTCCTCTATTGTGCTCTC